TTACAATGAAATTAAATCGATCGATTTTACATAGGTCCGAACCTATATTTTTATAGGATATCGACGTTGAGATCGAGCTTACAGCCAACCATCTAGGAAGATTCGAAATGTATCTTTGTCCGAACAACGATCCAAGGCAGGTGGCAAGCCAGGAATGCTTCGATAGGTAATCGAAATTTTTCGCGACGTCTCGATCTAATTTGCGCGGATGTAAATTACTTTTATACACACTTTACTCGCCGATCGCGTTCTTAGTTCTTATTAATCTACGTGTACGTTTCGATCGCAATTGCTTTGCCTCGAGATACCTGGTCGAGATCGTCGTAGTCCGTATATCATCGACTCTTGACGTTAACACGCGTGTATGTACACGTACGTTTAAATTTTCCAGATTTCACTTCGTTTCGGTATTTATATGGTATTTATACGTACCTGTTCCGTTGAATCGTTTATCGATGCATAGAAACGACGGTGACACACACACGCACGCACACACATTCGTACAAATATCTAACAATTACAGTAAATAGTAAATTGAAAGCATGTTTCGTTAGACAGCAGCAATCGTCGTATCGTTATATATATGTAGTGTGACAGTTTCAAACTTGAGAGCATCGAGTTCGGATTGTAATCGTCTTCTTTTCAAAGATACTCGTTTACTCTGATGAAATCATTGGTTGTTCGAGGTATCCGTTGTACGTGTCTGGAACGCGGGACGTTCGATTCGAGATACCTGTGGACACTGAGAGAAAAGCTATATTTCGATACAAGGTAACATTACCGCCGTACGTCACTTGTACGCAATGTGTCGTTCAATGGAACTACTACACTGGTTTGTATTTGTATTTTTTACGCGATATATTTGCTTATCTATAGATAGATGCAGGGCGCTAAATTGCGTTCGGCGGTTTCCGACTACTATTTCAGCCACTATTTGCACTTATGAGTTTTCTACGCAGATTTGCAATCCGTGTGTCACGACGTGTATCCTAGTGATATGTGTAATATAATCAGGTAACATGTGGGGCACTTGTGAAAACGGGACTGAAGCGAACGGATGTGGAAGACCGGAGACGTTTCGAAATTGCGCCGATGTGAGCGTCGTTACCAGCACGGCTGGAGTTCCACCCCTCTTCGTACAACAGGACAATCCCTTTTTGCTCTATTACAAAGACTACCGTTCTCCCAACGACATATTCCCACTCGTCGTTAGGTAAATGCGTGATCACGCGTGCATGCGTGATCCGCGACTACGCGCGTCGTCGTAACGTATCGTAGCGATCGAAAGCCGTTTCTCCGTTGCAGATCTCAAGTGTGCCTGTCCACTTCCCTTTACCGCCGTATACCAGGCATGAGCGACTGGTGTCAAACTAATTGCCTTCGCTATCCGCCAAACTGTCCAGCAGCCATTTGCCAATGCCCGTAAGTTGTCTCGACACATTTATCTTTCGAGAGAAGATAGCGACACTCTTCGTCCCGACAATGCCGTTTCGTATGATTATGTGACGATTACCACCTACTTGTATCATTACTACCTACCTGCTATGTATCATTCTCTTTTTCAAGACCCATTCTTCGCGTCTTGCGAAAGTTGTTTTGTAACAAACGAACAAACTTTTCAACAAGATTGTATATATTATTGACTGACGGTTGACTGTTCGATCGAGCCGAATCAATCAATTTAGAGTCAATTTAGAGTCAGGGCCGTGTGTACGTGTTCTCGTGTCGACATTTTTATGTCAACTTTGTGTAATTCCGTACGTAATTTCGTGCGTGGCGTACTGCCCCGACGCTTCTTTGCTCTTGTTCGATCGAAAGATCACACTTTGTCGAGGAAGGGTGAAATTTTATGAAAAAAAAAAAAAAAAAAAA